GCTGGAAGGTTTCTGGGCTCTTCGTACTGCAGTGTCGGGCTGAGCACCGCTGGAATGAGCGGCTAGCCGGGGTCATAAACTCAGCACCAGTAATGAATGAAAGGGACACAGTTTAAGAACCAAAACTTCGGCCAGGAGTGGTGGTGCACACCTGTAATCCCAGCGCTTGGGAGGCTGAGGCAGGAGAATCACTGCTAGTTGGAGGTCAGCCTCAAACTGCATAGCAAGACCCTGTCTCAAAAAGACCAAAATAAACAAACAAATAAATAAACAATAAAAAGATAAAAGAACTGAAACTTCTGTCTTCTATGTGGGATTTTCTTTGCAGTGACACGTATTACTTACATTATTCCTCTTTTTGTTGTTGTACATGGGCTGTGTCTGTGGCACTGAAATTTATCATTTGGCCTGGAAGCGCTGGGCTACAAAGGAAGACAGAAACAAGGCAGGGGCCTATGCTATTTCGTAAATGGATGTATGTTTGTTACTATGTGTTTTTGACAACAACCATTGAGAATAGTCGATGAGGGGGCTGGGGATTTAGCTCAGCGGCACAGCGCCTGCCTGGCAAGCACAAGGTCATGAATTCAATTCCCAGTACTGGAGAAAAAACAAAAAAAAACAAACAAAAAAAAGAACAGTCAATGATTATTTGATTGATCACTCATGTATAGCTCAATTTGTTTTCCCTAGAGACCACTTTGGAGAAACCAAGATATAGTACAACAACCATTGATAATTTCCTGCCATTTTTGTCTGTAACTCACTATTATTTGTCTATTTGTTTTCCTGAGAAACTATCTTGAAGATACCAATAAGTAAAATAACAACCATTGATAATGTCCTACCACTTTGTCTGTAATTCAGTGAATCCCCCTATTGCTATGTTGTCCTTCTTTTACTCTTTAAAATAAAATTAAAAAAAAAAAAAAAAGAAAGCAGGGGAAAAGTGGGCAGCACCCGTGGCCCTGGGTTAACATAGATGCAGTCACTGAGGAAGTTCATGTGGGCTGGACGCTTGTGTGTCGCTCCTTCCTCTGAACAGAGGTGTGGAGACCCTGTCCCCGAGGTGACAGGACTAAGAGGCGGGAGTTTTCACAGGTGATTGAACTGTGAGGATGAAACCGTCATGAGTGAGATTAGTGTGCCTGCAGCAAGATGCCACAGCGGCTGTGCCGCATCCAGCATGAGACGGTGCCACAAGAAGGCGCTGTCTATGCAGAAGTGGTCCCTGACTGACACTGTATCTGCCAGCACCGTGTCCTGGCTTCCCACCCTCCAAAACTCTGACAAACTTGCAGTTTGTTGTCAATAAGCCGCCCAGTCATACTTTTGGTATAGCAGCCTGAGCAGATTAAGACAGAGGCTTTGTGTATTTTCTAGGTTTTTGTAGGTCTGTGCCCCTGGATTCAATCCCAGTATCATCCAAGAACTAGTTGTGTTAAACTGGCATTTGCACAGAGGGCTCCCGGTGAGCTGTGGAAGAGGGGCTGCTTCTGTTTTGTTTTGTTTTTGGTACCGGGAATCTAACTCAGGACCTTGCGCTTGCCAGGCAGGCGTTTATACTGCTAAGCTATATCCCCGGCCCTATTTTCTAGGAGTTAAAAAAAAATAGATACAGTATGTTAGTTGGAGATTATTTTTAATAGTAAAAAATTATAGAATAAGAGTGTATGTGGTAGTGTGTGCCTGTAACTCCAGCATTCTGAGAGGCTGAGGCAGAAGGATCTCAAGTTAGAGCCCGGGCTCAGCACTCAGTAACAGTGATTTAGCAAAAAACTGCTTCAGAATTTAAAAATAAATAAACAAAATTTTAAAAGTCTAGGGATGGAGCTCAGTGTAAAGGCCCAGGGTTCAATCCCTAACACTAAAAAATGTGGGTTTGGACATTGTCAGAGAAGAATGAATTTAGGTCTCATAAAGGAAGGTAAAGGGTAACAATTCTTGCTGGGTGTGGTGGCACTTGCCTGTAATCACAGTACTTGAGAGGCTGAGGCAGGAGGATTGCCATGAGTTCCTAGACCAGCCTGGGCTACAAAGTGAATTCAAGGACAGCTTGGACTGCAGAGCAAGACCCTGTCTCCCAAAAAAAAGACTATTTAAAAAAAAAAAAAAAATTAAGCAAGCAAATTGACTTACCACAATCACATAGGTGCCCAAAGCCGACAAAGGAATTCAATGACTCAAAGCCAGGTGTTTATTACTTCCAGCACAGCAAACAGCAGGAGCAGCACCTGGTGGTGCTAGTTACCAGCTGCCCTGTCCCCAGGTAGCACCATGGGCCGAGAGGAGGCCATGCCTGCAATGGGTTGCAGTGCAGCTGGCAGCCAAGGGCTAAGGATTCAGTGACTTTTTTTAGCAGTAACCATCCAGTCCCCTCCTAGAGACAAGAAGTCATAAGGTAATTTTGTTGTGTTCACCTTTATCTCTTTATTTGGCCATGGGACTAGGTACAGACACAGCTGAGGGTGAAAGGACAGCAACACCTTGACATCTGGCACAATTTTAAGCATTTGCAGAGATGCTCAAAGGCTATTGCAGGCTCTCTCCCCAGCAGAGTCAGACTGCAGTGGGCATCTGCCATAGCCAGGCATCCATTCCTCTACTTGCTCACTTGCAACCCCTACCCTCTGGCTTTCTCTGGGGATTTCTCTCAGCATTTGTGGAAATGGCCACCTCTCCTGAAGCCCCAGAGCTGTCCTGGGGTCAATGCATTCCAGCTGTCTCTTTGATTCTGTGATCCCACCTACATCCCTCCACTGAATTCCTTTTGGTTTAAGCTAAAGTCTGTTTTTCTTACTGGCAAACACAGAACTCTACCTGATATAAAATGGTATTGTTCTCAGAGATTTCATGGTTCCACTGTCTTAGTTACTTTTCTCTTGTTGCTGAGACAAAATACCCAATACCCAAAGTTAAAGGAGGAAAGGTTTATTTAACTCACAGTTTGTAGAGGTTTCAGTCCATAATCAGCTGGCTCCAAGACAAGGTGGTGTCGCAGAGGGGCAATAGTTCATGGTGGTGGAAGACAGCAAAAGGAGCAAGAAAAGGGGTGAAACAAGCCTCTTTTTGCCCTTTTATTTTGCGTGCAGTTTACTCACCCTAGGGCGGGTGTAGCACTCACATGACCAATCCCAGGAATAGACAGTGAACCAATCAAACCCTAGATTCAGCCGCCTCCAAAAATCCCGCCCCTTTTGACTGCATGAGGCTTTGGGGGGACATCCAGACACAAACCATAACACTCACCAAGGAGAGAGACATGTAAACAAATAACTGCAATAGAGTGAGAAATGTGATAATACATGGCACAAACAGGTGCACTAGAAGCATAGAAAGACTCTGTCTCATCATCACACCTTAGAGATGACACCCTGAGTCACAGAGGGGCTCAGGAAGTGACTTGAGGACACCTGCAATAAGGGAGCCAGGGCCTGGAACCCAGTCTAACTCCAAAGCCCACACCTTGATCCTCTAATCCTTTCCCTTCCATTCCCCTTCCAGACCTCTCCCAGAGCAACCTTTCTGAAACATACATCTGACTAGAGCTCCCCATGATAAAACCAAACTCTTCCACGAGAAATGACCGGGACCCTGACCGTCATTCCAGCTGTCCCCTGGCCACCGCTGTCATTGACTTGTACTTGTATCTTCCAGATTTCTTGTAGTTTCCTAAGTGCACACTGATTTTATATACTGCAAGGATTTGCACAAACTTTCATGCAGCTCAGGACAGCTTCCCTTGCCTTTTCCACCCACTGCCTGCAAGATACTTGTCCCTATTGACAGAGTCAAGTTATGTAGCCCAGGCTAGCCGCAAACCCAGAGATTCTCCTACCTCAGCCTCCTAAGTGCTGGGACCACAGACATACACTACCACACCAGGTTTGTTTTATATTTTCAATAGAGACCAGAGGAAACGTGTAAATATTAGATCTCCTCTCAGCTCAGATGTCTTTTCTGACACAATCCAGCCAGGATTTACTGCTCAGCTCAACTGAGCATGCACAGAGCTAGGGTCCTTTCTTCCTGCATAACACAGGATGTGAGCCGCAAGGAAGCAAGCCCTCCCTCCTGCTTTTATTTGCATAGTAAGTGGCTCAAACATGATGTCAGCCTTGACTTCTTATCTTCAAAAGAGAGCTCAGTAATTCTCCTGTGCCCCACCAGAGACGGGAAACTCTTCATCTGTCTTGTTCTCTCTGTCCTTAGCACCAAGCACAGTGTCTGGTGTCACGCCGGGGCCGGATAAATACTCATGGAACACTGCACTGGTGTTTTGTGAGGACACGGTCTCTGCTGATCTAAAATGTGGTCCAAGCTCCTGCTTCATCCCTAACATGCACAAAAACAATGTCTTTATTTTATTAGGTCCTGGGGAGGAGCAGTGAAATCAGCGGGGACTTCCCGTGAGGGGCGGCTGGGAGCCACGTCTTCACGAGCCATCCGAGTTTCGCTGGCGCGAGGTAAGTCTGTATGGCTTTTCCACCAACACAGGGATTGGGCAGAGGAAGGCTCAGTTCTTTCTTGAGATGAGTAGGAAGACACAAAGGTACCTCCCAGTTGGTTACCATCCTCCTCAGGATTTCTTTTGCTTTATTTATTTATTTATTTATTTTGTCTTTTTGAGACGGGGTCTCACTATGCAGTTCAGGTTGGTCTTGAACTCACTTTGTAGTCCAGGCTGGCCCCAAACGCACAAGGATCCTCCTGTCTCAGCCTCCCAAGTGCTGGGATTACAGGTGTGCGCCACCACACCCAGCTCATTTTGGGCTTGTAACAAAGCCCTGCCTCTGTTTCCTTCTCCTCTTTGAGAAAAGAAGTTGAGTTTCTCCCAGAGGCCATTTCCTCTGCACTGGCTTTCTTGGCCATGGTTGGTGGCTCTGGACTTTCGGTTAGGCGGACAGTAACTCTTTCCCACTGACCTTCCCAAGCAGTGAGTGCCTATTCCCAGTGAGTCCCTCCCCAGCCCAGCGCTCCCAGTGTCAGAGCCCACAGAGTCGGGGACTTACATGGAGGTTTACTGGTGGAAGTACAGAGGCACCTTGTTATAAATACCATCTGAGCTCCTGTGGTCGGTTGGCCGCCACGGGAACAGCATTACAGGAGATGTCGCAAGGGTACAGAAGCCAGGGATGATCGCCCGTGCTGATTAGGTGTTAGGGCCCCAGAAAGTTCTCCCCCAGGGAACTGGCTGCAGGCGCCTGCAGGAGGTGCTCATTAGGGTCATCTTGTTCCCAGAGGCTGTGGCTCAAGGTGGCTCTCATGGGTATGTTCACACTGATGGGCGATGCCACTGGCGAGGGTATCTTGTTGCAACTGCTGGAACTGCCTATTTTGATGGCAGTGTCGGTGCTTCTGTGGGAGCCCAGGAATTTCAGGGTCATTGAAAGCAATAGAAGAAAAAAAAAAACACTGTTAAAATGTACATTAGAATCTTTTTTTCTTTTTGAATGGTACTGGGGATTGAACCAAGGGCCTTTGCCCTGAGCTACAACCCCAGAACTTTTATTATTTTTTATTTTGATCCAGGGTCTTGCTAAGTTGCTAAGTTATCCAGGTTAGGCTCCAACTTGCCATCTCCTGCCTCAGCCTCCCAGAGTACTCTAATTTCAGGCGTGTGCGCCACTGACTCCACTCTACAGCGTGGGTGCCTTGAATGCAGCTGGAAGTGACAGTACATGTATATGGCGTGACACACCTAAGAGCAAGCAAGGACAGACAGCCAAGAAAGAGGGAGGCTGGAGCAAAGCCCTGCCCTACTGCCCTCACTGGGAACAGATAGCTCCACACTGCAGCAGGGCCTGAGGTGTAGAAAGCCCAGCGTGCTTTGACTCAAAAGCAAAGTCTAAGCCTACTGGATTCGTCTTGGTACAAAGAAAATCTTGGAACAGTTCTCTAAAACAATAAAAACAAAAACAAAACAAAACAATAAAACAAATTTAAAAAGCACATCCACAGCACTCTGGCAGGCTGAAGCAGGAGGATCACAGATTTGATCCTAGCCTAGGCAACTTAGTAAGACTGTGTCTCAAAATAAAAAATAAAAATAGGTTTAGGGATATAGCTCAGTGCAAAAGCCCTGGGTATACCCCCCCCACACACACACACGCCACAGGTCACAACCACTTAGTGACTAGGAAAACATGTATGGCTATAAGCATTTTAGAAATTCTAATTAGGGGAGAATATATTGTTATTTTAAAAGAAAATAGAAACTACAAGAAAAGACCAAGAAGAAAATTTTTAAAAAAGAGAAGAAAAATTACACCATATTCATAGATAAATGTGATGAAATTTTTTAAGTGAAAAAAATTTTAGAGTTACTTAGCAAAAGAACCGCAACACTGGTAGATAATCTAAAGACCTCTCTGCAACAAAATGCCTAGAAATGCCTGCACATCCTCCCTGTGATGTCAGGACCATGCCGCAGTCCATCCAGGGCCTAGCAGAACCCAGCATCCGCAGCCCTGGAACACACAAGCTGCCATGGTCTGGAAAACCCCCAAGTGTTTAAGAAGTGTCCCCAAGGAACCTACTCAGAACAAGTCTCCAGCTACAAGCCCTGACCCAGGCTGTCTAGCCTCTCCTTGGGGCATCTTTATTTTTTTTCGAAGTCTGTCTTTGTCTTGATTTCTGTATAGGATCCTGTCTTGAGCTATAGTTTTGTTGTTGTTGGTTTGTTTGTTTTGTTTTAATTCTTTTTAAAATTATTTTATTTATTTATTTATTTATTTATTTATTTTTTAAGACAATGTCTCATTGTGTAATTCAGACTGGCCTTGAACTCACTGTGATCCTCCTGCCTCAGCCTCCTGAGTGCTGGCATTACAGGCATGGGCCACCGGGCCTGGTTTAAATGTGCATTTTGATGAGACTCTCCAAGTTGCACTTATTGAATATGTTGGTTGCACTCATTTGCCTTGGGATTTCTATCACTTGTTACAGAAAGAATCTAATACAATTAGTAAATTAATAGAACTGGGGAGCTAGGGGTAGTCTTCCTGCGTGCTACTGTCCGTTCCAGTTATTTTCTAGAAGTAGGTAAGGCAAAAGGAAGTCGAGTCTTGCCAAGGGAACCTTATGAGCTGGAAGAGACAATCAACAGCTCATTCCCTGAGCCTGATTTCGAGTTAATTTAATCATCCCTCATTCATTTTATGGAGCACCTGAAAATACTGGGGTTTGCCTAAGAAATGAACATGCAGCTCAGAGACTGGAATGCCAAAGACCCTGTCTTCAAGGACAGGCTGGGAACAAAGTTGAGGCTCAGTCACTTGCCTACCTAGAATGAAGAGCAGGACCCGAGATGGGTTGGCAGAGGGTGCACCAACCCCAGTGACTCCAGGCTGGGGAGGGACACTGAGCAGACCACACAGGACCCACCTGTCTGCTGTGAACTGGGTCCTTTGAGAGAGTTCTGAGAAACTGCCGCTGGTCTGCTCGGCTGCCAACAGCAGGAGGGTCTCGCTGGGCTGGGAGGACCCAGGGAGGCTGCTCTCAGGCTGTGTAGAGAAACGCAAGTCAGAGGGCCAGGCCGAGCGCTCACGGAACATCCTTGGCCTCTTCAGGCAGAACCCTGAAGGAATCTGTGGGGTTACACTCGAGTTTTGCAGCCCAGCCCTAGGAAATTGTTCCTGAAACATTAAGCCCCAGGATCATCCACTCAGTAAGAGGGGAGCCCTGGCAGGATCATGCCTTCTCTCTGATGGTCTGTGGAAACTACTCTGTCCAGAGCACAAGAGCTGGGTTGCATGACCTGGGCATTGTCGTGCACTCCTATAATCCCAGCACTCAGGAGACTGATGCAGGTGAGTTTGAAGTCAGCCTGAGCTATAAGTGAGTTCAAGACCAGCCTGAACTACATAGCAAGATCCTGTCCTGCCCCTGCCCCCCAAAAAAGATCTGATTCATTTTTTTGAGACAGGTTCTCTTTATATAGTTCAGGTTGGCCTTATACTCACCATGTAGCATGGGATGGCCTTAAACTCACGGTGATCCTCCTGTCTCAGCCTTCCACGTTCTGGGATTACAGGTGTGCACTGCCACACCTGGCACTGGCTGACTTTCAAAGTTGTTAGTAATAACAAAACAAAACTGACACATACAATTTAATGGGAACAGCAAAGCATTTAGATTCTGAAATCTGAAAGCGTGGAGCAATCCAGTCTAGCAGGCTTTCCTTCTGGCGCTTTTATCCTTATCCTCCTTTGTTGTTTGTTAAGACAGGGTCTCGCTAAGTAGTTCAAGCTGAGCTACTTTTATTTTTGGTACCAGGGAAGTGAATTCAGGACCTTGCGCTTGCCAGGCAGGCACTTGTGCCACACTTGTGCTATATCCCTGGCAAGCTTGAGCTCTTGATGATCCTCCTGCTTCTGTCTCCTGAGTGCTGGTGTTAGAGGAATGCCCTCCATGCCAGCTCCTTGCACCTTTATACAAAGCAAATCTTGGACCATCTTTATGGGTGTCAAAAAAATCATGCTAAGGGCTGGAGATGTAGCTCAGTGGTAGATTACTTGCATAGTATGCCTGAGCCCCTGCATCCAATCCCCAGCAATGCAAGAGGGAAAAAAAGCAAAAGAAGTCAACAGGTAACAACAACAACCAAAAGAAATGTAATCTGTAAGTACACAGGTGACAATGCACAAACTCATTAAAAATCAAAGATGCCACATTTTTACTTATCATATTAGAAAAATCTTAAAACTTACATACTACTCAGTTGCAATAAGGGTGTAGTGCCTATGATAAGGAAAAGTGCCTACAATATAATCTAAAGTAAAAACCCAGCAGTCAGTAATATACACAATTGCTCCTTAGCAACCATGAGGACTGATTCCAGGACTCCTCTCTAGTACCCAACCCCATGGATGCTCAGGTCCCTTATGCAAAGTGAGGCGGTATTGACGCACATCCTCCTACTTTAAATCAGCCCTCCATTACTTAAGATACCTAATACAACGGAAGTGCTACGAACTTAGTTGTGAGATTACATTGTTCAAGGAATAAGGACAAGAAAAAAAGTCTGACGTGTTCAGTACAAATGCAATTTCCTCTTTCTTTCTTTCTTTTTTTTTTTTTTTTTTGGTTCCGGGAATCAAACTCAAAACCTTGCTCTTGCCCCGCAGGCACTTGTGCTGCTGAGTTATATCCCCGGCCCCAAATGCAGTCTTTTCTGAATATTTCTGATACAAGGCTGGATGAACCTATGGCTGTGGAACCTGCAGATATGGCGGACGGCACATTTGTGCGCGTGCGCATTACAGATGTACATGCAAGTGCATGCACAGACACACATGTACACATCGATGCTTAATTCGCCACAGGCTTGGGAGGGAGCCCCACTCACTGTTGTTTCCGTGGAGAATCTGGGCAGCTTGGGCACCAGGCAGTGAGTGAAGCAGATTCTAGGGTCTTTGGTGGTGATGGATAGACCTTTCTGTAGAATTTTCACCAAGCGGATCCAGAATTCAAACACGGCCTCTGGGTGTTTTTCATGGAGCCTCAGGTAGTAGATCTTCTCAGTCACTGTCCTGACCCGCAGGATGCGTTGGGGCCGGTCACAGATTTGTAGCTCCACATACCTCAGGGGCAGAATCCTGGGTATAATCAGGAAATAGAGAAAGCTCTTGTTCTGACTTTGCGAAGACTAAGACTGATGCTTCTCTGATTTGCAGGATTTCTGTTATTCAAGAATCTGCCCACATTAATAACAAAAGTTGCTATTGATGTCTAACCTCTCATTAAGTTCTCACAACACCCATCTGATAAAGGAAAGAAGTATTGTTAATTCTACTTTACAAATTTTGAAACTGGCTTTTGGAGAAGCTCAGTAGCTTCCCAAGTTTAGATCTTAGTAAGTGGGATCTGATTCTATCTCCAGGCCCTTGTTCTACATCCTGATTACCTGTGGGGAAAAGTAAATAAAAGGATGAGTATTTTTTTTTCAATCTCACAATTTCATAGTCCTACTGACTTTCACATCTCCACCTTTTCTCTCTGGAAATGCCCTACATTTATATTGACAAAATAAAAATTAACAAAAGGTGATGGGTGTGGTGGCACACGTGCCTGTAATCCCAGCACTTGGGAGGCTGAGGCAGGAGAATTGCTAACTCAAGGCCAGCCTGGGTGACAAAGTGAGTTCAAGGACAACCTGAACTTCATAGCTAAACCCTGTCTTAGGAAGACAAAATAGATTTTTTAAAAAATAATATATAAATTTTAGGGCCAGGGATACAGCTCAGCAGCACAAGCGCCTGCCTGGCAAGTGCAAGGTCCTGAGTTCAATTCCCAGTACCAAAAA